TTATGCATTTTTCTTGTATTTCAAAAACAACTTCTATTCACTCCCTTTCTTTGATGTCCTCATTCACTCTTCTAACCTTGCTCAATCCTTTCTGGTGAGAGAAATTTGGAGTGGGTTGGTGCCACCCAAAATGAGGGCCTTTTGTTGGGAATTTTTTCATCAAAAGATCAATACTTTTTAAGTTTCTGAAGAGGAAGAGACCTGTCTGGTATATCTAACCTTCCTCAATCCTTTCCGGTGATTGAAATTTGGAGTGGGCTGGTGCCATCCAAGTAAGGGCCTTTTGTTGGGAAGTCTTTCACCAAAAGAGGAAGAGACCTGTCTGGTATTTCCACAAGTGTTTGTCTCATTTGCAAAGCAAGTGGAAGAATTGATATCACTTGCTAATCTCTTCCCCTTTCCTGCCAGAATTTGGGGATGGTTTTTATGCCTTTTTGGTTGCAGGTGGACCCCCCTTAACTTGAGTGCTATCTTGAACAGTGCATTTGTTAATCTTGCTTGAAAAAGAGGCAGGATTATGTGGAGATGTACTAGGGTTGCCATTATTTGAATCCTATGTGAATACTGGAATAATAGACTATTTAATAAGAAAAAAGGGCTAAGGTTTTCACTAATTGAATCCATAACGATGAAGGTGATCCGTTAGGTCAAGATGATGGAACTTTTTAATTCATTTCCCTTGAAGACATCTCTAGGGGATGGTTTTGGATTTGCTCAATCTGCATCAGGGAGGGCTAGGGTGATTGCTAGTTGGATGCCACTGGGTTTGAACAATGATTAAACTAAATTTTGATGGCTGCAGCAAAGGGAACCGAGGCGTTGTTGGTATTGGAGGATGCTTTAAGGACAGTTATGGAGATAAATTTGCCTTTCATCCAATAGGCCAAGCTAACTCCACAATGGCAGAACTAGTGGCAGTCTTAAGAGGTCTAAAACTTTCAAGGTCTTCAAACTTCATAGCTTTGGCTGTGGAAAGTGACTCAAAAGTGGTGATCTGTTGGCTTACTACCTCCCCTTTTGTCCTTACAAAAGAATTAAAGAAGTTGTACACTAATGTACACACCTACTAAAATACAAGAAAGAAAGATAAAATTACATAACTACCCTCCATTTTGTCAGCAAACAAGGTCTTGATGCACTCATGTTGTCAGCAAACAAGGGGATGGTAGTTGAGTGATCAATGTCCATGTCATGAAGTAGATCTTTGAGCCAAACTATTTCACTACATATTGAGGACATTGCTCTATACTCTACTTTTGTAGATAACTTGGAAACGGTTTGTTGTTTCTTGCATTTTCAAGAAATCAAAGAGTCACCAAGAAATATACACTAGCCAGTAGTGGAACGACGAGTGTTAGGACAACCTGCCTAATTTGCATTTGCATAAGCTCGAAGTTGGGTGGAGGATGAAGATGAGAAAAACAAGCCATGAGATAGGGTGCCCTTGACATAAATGATGATTCAAAGAACAACAAAGAAGTGGGGCTGATGTGGCGTAGATACAAACTTACTGACAAGCTGGACTGCATAGGAAATGTTCGATCTAGTCATAATTAGGAAGATAAGACTACCTACAAGCTTCCAATATAGAGTAGCATCAGGGAGAAGCTCACCATCATCATTGCTTAGCTTACGGTTAAGCTCTAGAGGTGTATCCACTTGTTTAGAATCAGACAAGCGAGCAAGTGTCACCAAATCAGAGGTATACTTCTGTTGGTTAAAAAAATAACCTTGAGGACATCGCTGAATTTCAAGCCCAAGAAAATAGGTGACAGGCCCAAGATCCTTCATTTTGAAGGAGTTGTTGAGAAGGAGCTTCAAATTGTTAATGCCATCCACATCATCTACAATGATAAGTATATCATCAACATATACCAAGAGAAGAGTCAACCCCTGTGCCCGCTTGAGAGTGAAAAGAGAGTAATCTGAAGCACTTTGCTGAAAGCCAGCCTCCAGCATCACTATACAGAAGCAGTCGAACCAAGTTCGTGGAGCTTATTTAAGACCATATAAAGATTTCTTCAGTTTACACACCTTATGAGGATCATGGCAGTAGGTAGGAGGTGGTTTCATGTAACTGTTTCTTGTAAATGCCCATGGACAAAGGCATTCTTGACATCCATCTAATGAACTGTCCATTGTCTAATAGCAGTAATGGCCAAGAGTAAACAGACTGTTGTCATTTCGGCCACTAGAGCAAAGGTCTCATCGTAGTCAATTCCATATTCTTACCTGTAGCCTTGAGCAACCAACCGGGTTTTATATTTGTCTAAAGTACCGCCTGGAGGAGGAGTGACCAACTCCTAGGTATCATTCTCCAATAAAGCCTGAGCCTCAAAGTCAATAACATCTTTCCAATGCTTAACTGCTACAGCCTGGTTGTAAGACTTAGGAATATCTATAGATGACAAAACAATTGAGAAGGAGCTATGGTTAGAAAAGAAGCCATAGTGGTCAGGTGGATGAGAAACATGAGATGGTCGACTTAAAGGAACGAATGAAGGCAAATCAATAGGATGGGAAGAGGAGCTTACAACAGTGATGGGTGGAGAGGAATCACCATCCATTGGTGCTGGAGGTGGAGGCATAGGCAGTGGGCGAGCTGGATGCATCCTGAAATGAACCTGAAGTGACAGAGATGTGGGAGGAGGATCACCTGCAGAGCCAAAATGGTGCAGAACAAAAAAGGATGGTGCATGCAATTTACTAATATGTGCAAAGAATGAAAGGTTCTCAAGAAAAATGACATTATGAGAAGGAGAAGAACACAAATAAGCATATGGTTTGAAGCTCAGAGTCAATGATCCACGTGTGAAGGAGAAGAACACAAATAAGCAGACTTACCAGCCAGTCCAATAGCAGAAAAAGCAGAGGAAATAGCCGAGGGCATGAGCTCATGAATCTTATCTTCAGTCAAATTTCCCTGTGCATCTGGTTTTTGTGCTGATGAGGATGATGCAGTATCAGTTGGAGTTGGTTCAGTTGAGGCTTGATAAGCCTTATGTTGTCCTTTCTCGGGGGGCCTGACTAGGCATTCCACAATAATGTGTCCCTGCTGTTTGCAGTAGGTGCAGAAATTTTTCTTCTTGCAGTGGGATGCCACATGTCCATATTCCTTGCATTCATAACATTGCACTTTCGAGAAATCCTTCTTCCCTTTCTGTTTGGTGGCCAAGAAGACAGTATCTATTCCTTGTTCCTTCTTCTGATCAAGTGCAGACTGAGTGAGGAAACGAGTTTCCTCTTTTAACAACTCACCAAGTATAATATCAAGATTTGGTACAGGCTCTCTGCTGAGTATACTAGAGCGTAGGGTTTCATAATCAGATCTGAGATGCATCAAAAAATGCAGTCTTTCTCTTACTGAGATGTTTCTTCATATTTTTCACACAATAGTCCGTAGAGAGATCCCCAAAGTGAGCCAATTCATATTTAATCCAAAGGTTCACAAACCCAACATAGTATTCCTAAATCCGCTTCTCCCATTGAACATAAGAGAAAATATCAACTTCAATCTGATATTGACTAGACATATTTGGTTGCTGATAAACCTTTTCAAGGTATTCGGACATGTCATGGGCAGATTTGAGTCCCCTCATCGGAATACTGACATCCATAGTAACAGAACCGAGAATCCATGAAACAACCTGTGCATTCTTAGTTTTCCACTGTTTCATCCCTTTGATATCATCAGCATCAGGAATGGATGTGGAACCATTAATATAACCCTACATACCCTTCCCTTCAACAAAATACTGAAAATGAAACTTCTAGAGAGCATGATTGCTTCCATCAAACTTAACAGAAATAATCTCATTCTTTCCAGACCCATGTCGAGTAAGAACACAAAACAAAAAAGCAGTCGAAGCAAGGAATATAAGCAGAAAACCAATTCAAGATAGTCAAAACCAAGAGAAGAAATCTCTTACAGTCGAAAGAGAGTGTCTAAGATGCAGCAATAGTTGAAAACTGAGAACACAGTCCAAAAAAGGAAAAACTGGTTGCTGCTGCCCAGAAGAGATGTATAGATCTCTCTCAATACTTCTCTGATCTCGATGAAACTTTGAGGGGATGAAGAAGAGGACCAGGTGACACTTCCTTTTAATTTTGACTTCAAACGGATGTCTTCCGAGAGAGATCCAATGAAATCTCTCTTGCTGGATGCACAAAACACAGAAAACTGGTTCCTAGAATGATCAGAACAGTCCAGAACCAATCAACGATGAAGATAGCTCTCAAACAGATTAGAAGAACGAGTAATGGATCAGAGAACAACATGCTCTGATACCATGTTAGTTTGTGAGAAAGTGAAGAGACAAGAGGAAGAACAATAGTCCAGATCTGTTAGGGTTGATCAATCTGATAGAACCAACCCAAAAAGAGTATTTATATTAAAGGAATATGAATGGACAAATATGTCCTTACAAAAGAATTAAAGAAGCTGTGCGCTAATGTACATGCCTACAAAAATACAAGAAAGAAAGATAAAATTACATAACTACCCTCCATCTTCTCTACAACTAGCAATGTGTTGATTCCATGGCAATACAGGAATACTATGGGAGAGTTGAGATTGTTAGCAAGGGACCTGGTTGTCATCGATAACTGGATTCACAGATCTGCCAATGAATTGGCAGACACATTCGTAAACAGGGGATGGCTAGAGGAAATATGTTTTGGGGACAGATGGGAAATGGTGATGTAAATTAAATGGTGTAATTGTGTGGAAAAAGGAGGTAAGCTACATTGGGTGGCCTAAGTTGGGGATGCTTGGCATCTTTGTAAATATCATTCTTTAGTATTAGTATTTGTATTAGAATTACATCAAAGGAATGTACTACCATTTTTATAATCAATAAAGTTATATTACCTATCAAGAAAGGCTCATTTTGTTGTGATTTTTCTGATTTTTTTTCCTTCTTTTGTTTTCTTCATCCAAGAAATCAAAAGCTGAGTTTAGGCTTTCGTTATCCACTGAACTTCTGTTGTCCTCATTGCAGCCTGAAGCAGTAACTGATATGAAGCAACGATATGTTGGCCATTGTAATGTAGGGACTGACATAAAACAGGCTAGTTTTCTTGGCCAAAGAGGTAAGCTGGATTAGATTGCATTTGTCTTCCACTTAATTCTGATGTGAAAACTATGTGGACCATATTAAATCTTAAACTAACTTTTCTAAGAAAAGGCCTTCTGTTCTTATTAATATATTCTTTGTTGTACTCTTATGGTAAACAACATTCATGCTATCAACAAAAACAGTTTTTCTTGGTAGGTTTCAAAAAAAGAAAAAAACAGCTGGGGTCTTTTCTTCAATGCCCTCTTTGCTTAGGTTATTTAATTTCTCATTAAAAAGCTGCCTGGCTAGGTTCCACTTCCACCCATTAAAAACAAAGTGTTCAGTTGGGAGGTGATACACATGAAAAATAGCATGTCTTGTATGCTTCATCTTAGACAATTGCAATGGTTCCTGACCCCATGTGTGTTCTTTGTAGTATCCATACGAGTCAAGCACCCCCTATTGATCTAAATTCCTTTGTGATTGGAATTTTGGATCACATATTTACATTTTTTGGTGAGATATGGTCACCATTGGTGGCAATGCAACGTTATCAAAGCATTAACTAGTTCGCAGACTAGTCAGTTGAGGGCTAGACTGACCTCATCACTAACTAGTTGATCAATACTCATGATATGATTCTTTAAGGGCAGAAGTAAAGGCCTGATTCCAAGGTCTCAGACTGGCAAAATAATAGAGAATGCAACAGTTAGACGTAGAAGGAGATTCCAAGCTGGTATTAGGGTTGGATGCAAGCAAGAAGCTTGGAAACATGGTCCTTCAGACAACTTCCAAGGGAAATTATGAGCTTAGCAAGGGAGTTTGGAGTGCAGTTTAAGTGGGCAAGAAGATCAGCAACTTAAATGGCTGATGCTTTAGCTAAGCAAGAAGTCAATAAGGAGGCTTTGTTTTCGGCTTGTTTGTAGGACTGGCTATGTCTATGGGTTCTCCATCCATTCTTTGGGTTGTGACAATTGCACTCTTTATTTAATGTTATCAATGACAGTTACCATTTCCTATTTTAAAAAAAAGAAAAACTCATGATGTGATCATGTAGGTTGACTAGTCTGTTAATAACTAGTCAACTTAGTATCCATAAAAAATGACAGTCAACATAGTCAACCACAAAGTAGTTTTAAAGCTTAATTTGTTTGTTTGTATCTTTAATTATTTGAGTTGAAATAGTTTAGAATATGTTTGCATTTTGTTATAGTCAGTTGAGGACTAGACTGACCGCATCAGTAACTAGTCGGTTGATACTCGTTATCTGGTTGCCTAAGACGTCTAAGCATTGACTAGGGTGACTAGTTGATTAATGACTAGTTTAACTTAGTATCTATAAAAAATGACAATCAACTTAGTCAACCACAAAATAATTTTAAAGCTTTGTTTGTTTGTTTGTATCTCTAGTTATTTGAGATAGTAGAGAATATGGTTGTGTTTTATTATATACTAGCCACTTGATGGATAGACTGACCACATCACTAACTAGTTGGTCAATACTCATTATGTCGTTGCTTAAGAAATCTAAGCATCAACTAGGTTGGCTAGTCAATTATGACTAACCAACTTAGTATTCATAAAAGTGACAGTAAACTTAGTCAACTTAGTATTCATGATGTTGCTTTAAATATTTGTGATTGAATATGATTAGATGGCAGTATATAACATAGAAAAAAGGCATAAAATAAAGGAATGAAGCAAAGTTCTTTTTTCTTCCAATCAATAGTGTGTTGGAATGGAGTTTCCACAAACAAAGGGCACATCTAACAATCAAGGTTGAACTCTTCTTTGGAAAACAAGGACTGTGATTCACTATTCTAGCCCATCCAGCCTAACTTTTTCTTTTGTTTTCAAAACAAGAACCGTAAATTAAATGCTCAACATCATTCTTTTCTTGCATAATTGTATTCTATATTAACTTATGAGATTGCATTGATATCTTAAATTTAGATATTTTCTTTATCGATTAATCAGTGTCCAGGCACCAACCAGTTATTGCATCAACTAGAGAAGCCAAAACCCTGTAGTCATCACTTTATTGCATTGAGAACACTTGGTGGATATTCCCATATTATTTGATACATCTTAGTATGGCTCTCTGGATGTTGGGCATCATGTTCTAAGACCATGTGGATGTGTTTGAGATCTTCTGGTCAATTCGCACTAAGAGGAGTGCTAGAGTTTCACTGATAAAAGAAAGTTACTGGAGGTTGTACTGTTGGGTCTCATCATTATTATAGTGACTCATTATAGAAGAATTAAGGATTTTAACATGGATAGTAAGGATGGATCATGTAGCTTCCTCTTCTATTTCTAGAGAGGTTTCTTTTCTGCTTTGAAATTTGAATCCCCCATTCCAATGATCAATCAAGCTTAACTTTGATGGTTGCTTTTTGAGAAAACCAGGACCAGTGGGCATTAAAGGTATTTTTAGGACAGGATTCATGAAAGGGAACTGCTTGCAATTTATTTTGGTGCAGGAGGTTGGGATTATGTTCAGGTTGTCTTGTCTCAGGGGTTTGCAGTTGATATAAGCTCTGGGATATACTGCAATCTAGGTGTTGGTGGTAATTCTCTCTTTTTCATCCAAACACTCTTGCCAGTCCTTGGTTTCCATCCTTATATCATTCCTATCACTGGGCTTGATGTGGTGGCCAGAATACAGTAAGGTTTTGGTTCGACATTTGGTAGGAAGTAGGTCTCTCTTATTGGCCTTCATTCACCTTTCAATTCAACATATCTAGATCTAATTCTACTTGTGTCATTTGGCCAATGTTGCGTGGAGATAAACACGGGAATCGGAATCCAACCCATGTCTGGGAGTTTAACTTGGCAAAATGAAAAACAGGGACTCATGGATATGAAACATTAAAATAGTTCATATTTTTTTTTTCAAATTCTAACATTATACCTATAAAAATGGTATGCTCCCTGAAAAGACATGATACCAGAAGGGATTTGATAAAAAAACCACCTGATTGTGTGTGTGTGTGTGTGTGTGTGCGTGTGTGCTTTGATCATTACCAAGAATTTCATTAATTTATGAAAAGAATTGAGTGTTATATACGGTACAACTACAATCTAATTGCACCCCCTCAGTTTGGGCTAACAATGCTACCCGCCCACAGTCCACTAAACTTATAAGCTACAATCATTCATCCATTCCCGAGATGGTCCCCAAGTACATTTGAGATCTGTTAGCCCCCTATTTAGCTAACCCATATGCCAAATGGTTACTTTCTCTCTGAACCCAATGGTACATAGCTCCCAAAATTCTAGCAATATGCTTAATTGCCCTCGATATATATCTATGCTGCCAAGGTCCCTAACTCCCTTGCCTGGGCTACTCAACAATAGTCCTTGAATCTCCTTCTAATACCAACCAGCTCAAGTGCTGATCCCTTCTAATTATCGCAGTCCATGAAGGGCTTCCAATAGTTCTGATCTTATAGAGTAATCAATTCCAATAGGATCTGAGTATAGAGCAGCTGTTGTGTTGTCATTGTATCTAAAGACACCTCCAATGTCCAACTGCCATGGATTTTAAAAGTTACAACCATCAAAGTAAATCTTAATCTCTTCAAGAAGAAACCAAGAATAGAGTGTTGGTGCCAAGAATGTGGACAAGGAAGAGGCACAAAATTGCCAATTTCTAATCAATTCATTCACCGAGGAGTGGAAAGTAGGTAGTGTTTTATCCCAATGAATAAATTTGATCTTGAAATTAACAATCAAAACCTCTTTTGGTGCAATCTCTGCCTTGAAGATTCTAGCATCTCTCCTCCCAAACTAATCAAATGCTGGCTGCTCTAGTACATCTCCATAATCAAAATCTCTTTATGGTGAAGTTCAACCTTGATATTTAGTAATTGTTTTATAGGAAAAATGGCATCCATTATCGGCATTACCTTTTCATTTATGTTAAATAAGCAATTAGATAAAAGGAAATGTTATATAGAAATGTTCATTAAAGAATCCACGGAGTGCTAGGTGTCTTATAGCGGTGATTATTCTTGGCCCGGCTCGGCTTGGGCCCACAATATACTAAAGTATATTTTATTATATATAAATATATAATGCACATAATATTTTTATATGATAATATATTATATATAATAAACTATATATACTTGATATTATATATACACATTATTAATATTATATATATTTTATATGTTATATATGCAAATATATTTTTTGTAGTAAATATTTTACATAGATATAAAAATTTTATCATATACATGGCATGTGTCAACACATGAGTCAACTCAAATATGAGAGTTTTCCTCATAGGCAAGGCCTCCATTCTCTTTCCCAAGCAATGTGGGACTTGGAACAACATACTACACACTACACTTACTATAAAGGCTAGGCAAGCCAAGCCTTGGAATTAAATGAGGCCCATGCCTTATTTTTGTACCATAGGCGTAAATCCTAGCCAAGCCCAATCTACTATGGGTTTGTGAAATATTTATTTTTAATTTATTATACATTGTTTAGTTTAAAGTTTTTAAAATACTTAAATTTTTATCGTTAGATGCCATAGACCTGGCCTAAGGCCAACCTGGGCCCAACCCATGATCACCCTTAGCGTCTGACATAACGCTTCATCCACTTAGGATTGTCCGTGCAACATTGCTTCTGTCTCTGATGGCATATATCGGAACTTATAAATTTTTTAGGAACCTTAAAGAGGAGGCTGTCTCATTGCTAGTTCACCCAAAACTTCTCTTTCTATTCTCTTGAGAACCTGGCACTTGTCTAAATCTCATAGTCAAGTGGCATGTGCTGCCTATCTCATTTTTCTGTTGTCTAGCTGTATTCATTAATATGGAATATTGATTCCTTCCCTGACAAAAGATTCACCTCTCAATGGCCCGTCCAGAGGGAGGTTCTCTTTATGGTATCTGGAATGTATTTTGTATACTCTTTGTTTTGTATGTACTGTCACTCTTCTCTCTTGTACCTATACCTACTTTTCTCATTTTCAATAAAGTTTTCTTGATCTGGTTACTAATAAAAATGGAGTTGATGATTTAAAAGTGGAACCAGCATTCTTGTACGTCATTTCTTAAACCCTGCAAAGTGCGAACTGTTAAAAATATAGACATGAAGAAAATTGCTTGTTGCTTCCTGATATCTGTTCACATCTTTATTGTTAGGATATGAATTGTAAATGCCAACAGAAGCTGTAGGGAAATTATTCTTATCATTCTTTTTTCTCCTAAATGATAATTTACAGGTGAATATGTTGCCAGTGGAAGTGATGATGGGAGATGGTTCATTTGGCACAAGAGAACTGGAAGACTGATAAAAATGCTTCTTGGTGATGAAACTGGTATGGTGATCTATCTAGCATGAATTAATTCTATTCTTATTATCCCTCTGCATGTTATCTTAAGTTACTGTTTCTTTTGGCTAGTTGTCAACTGCATACAGTGCCATCCATTTGATTGCAGTGTTGCAACCAGTGGGATTGATCACACAATTAAAGTGAGTATGTTGAATAGATCTTTTAAAGTTCCTTTAGTTGAGGATAAATATTGATGATTTTTCCAGTTTATAAGTTGTAAAATACTTTTCTTCATTCCACTAATCACTTTCTTACAAGAAAATGGGGTGCATGCGGGGAGAGGTGGAGAAGGTCCAAACCATTCTTTGCCCTTAGCATGTAGCTACTGGCACTTGTCCTAACACAAGGAATAAGAAGGAAGAGTGGGAAGACGAAGAGTTTCTGACCCTTGAGTTTCTGATTATCTTCCATTATATAGATATGGACACCAAGGGCCATAATGCCATCCATGGTAGCTGGAGGTGTCATGGGGCCAGACACTGCAGATGTGCTGACTGTCATGGAAAACAATCAACAGAAGCTGCGTCGCAACCGTGAAGCTCTGCTGTAAGTATCTAAAACTTGTGCTACAGTACTGGTATGATAAATGTATTGTACATGGATCAATTTCTGCCACATTCATTAGTTTTTAAGCATAGTAAACTTGAGCAACTTTTATACATAAAGTATGTGAGCCAACATCTAACAATGTATTTTCAATCTCTCCTAAATTCTTCTCTTTTTGCTGTCTTTAACCCTGGAAAGTCTAAAACCCAATATATTAGTACTTGCAAATCCTTGGAGGAGGTTGGATCATCTTTTACACGTTTTTTAAAGGCATGTCTCAGGTGCACCTAGGTGCCCGAGCAAGGTGCATTTTAGGGCAGGGCACTCACCTGCATAGTTTTCAAGGCACCAAGGTGAGGCTAGGTGACAGGGAGGCACCTTGTTTCCTAGGCGCCTAGGCATCAATTTTTTTTTTTTAATAAAAAACATATCCTAGGGAACTTCCCTAGGTTCCATAACCATGTTTACTTAATAATCATCCATAATTTTCATAAGAAAAATATAAACTTCATGTTAAAGTATAGAAAATCAACATATTCATGAGAAGAAAAAGAAGAAAGAAATGAAAATGTGTTGATTAGACAAAATTTTAAGTTCTTCCTTACTTTTGGTTCTGGTTTTGAAGTCTTTGATGGTTCAATACAGCAGTTAGCAATGTCTGTGTTGATTAAACCCTAAGAAATAAGAAAATCATAAAAGAGATTAGTATATAAACACACAAAATCAATATTTAGTTTAATAATGTCTATTTTATAATTACTATCTCAAAGGGTGCCTTGTCGCCTAGGCGTCACTTTGACAACTATGCTCACCTGAACTAGGTGCTCCCTTTCAAAAGGTGCACGTCAGCCCGAGCAAGTGCCTTTTTTAACTATGCTATTTTTTTTGGGTACAATCTTATGTGTTTTATACATTTGTAATGGTTTATCAACTTTGAAATTATCTATTGTTGCTATTTGTACACTAGTAATGGTCCATTAACTTTGCAAGGTGCCAACTGAATGGTTGATAAGGTCTCCAGCTGGTTGTAGCAGAAACTTGGGATCAAATCCCGCCTGCACCAGGGTTGGGGGGGTTATGGGTTTGGTGGATGGCCTACTCCCCAATTGTGTAGCCCCACAGACAAAATGGTCCATTAACTTCTAAAATAAACAAAAAAAAAGACCTTTTAAATACTTTAAGACTTATTTCTCAAATAGCAAGCAGGATCTCAAATAGAAAATTTTCCACTAAAGAAGCACTAAGTCAATAAAAATACAACTAATATCTGATCCCTAATCCTAAAATGGAAAGAACTGTGACTAAAATCACAAAACCAACCCTTTCATATATTCAGGCCAAAGGTTTAGGTTGGGGTCACTGCCCCAAACCACCACTTGGATTTGTTTAGGCTTGCCTCAAGGGTCCTTTATGGAGGAAGATAACTGGTCTCCTAGAATTAGGAATCCAAGATGTTTAACATCATACCAGATACTTGAAGCAATGCAACAAGGAGATAAATAAACACATTGAAAGCTTCACATGCATGAATTATTGAGTGCTCGAAGCACTTCAATACAATCCACATATTTGTTTTCACTTTCACGATATGTTTTGTATGTTGTGCTCATGTATTTTAATTTTAGCCATCGGGCTCTTTAAAACATTTAGTTTCTTTTAAGTTTAGGTTTACATTTTTTATGTATTACTGATATTTTTTATTTCTTATACACACACACACCCATACACACAATTTGCCCCTTTGTTTTGAAAAGATGCATGCGTTGCCTTGTGCATTGGGCACTAGAAGGCCCTTGCACTTTTCTTGCATTTTGTGCTTTTTAAACATTGCTTCCACAAAAATATGTCCTCGAGCTTTGGGCAAAAAGAGATTCCATGCTTGCATTATCTCATGAGGCTGATCTAAGGCGTACCAATTCATCTTAGACTTTTCTTTTCTTTCCCTATCCATTTTTTCTTTTTTTTTTAATGGATAGGAAATAGTTTATTAAATAAGTGAAAGAAAGTATGTACATGCTTGTGAGGTGATAATTGAACAAAAACATAAAAAAGAAACCAAACCACAAAGCCAATCCATCCTACACTCAAGGTAGTTAGCACTCTGATACAATTCAACTGTGTCAACCCTATTCTAGCCAATTAATCCATGAGAGAATTTGCCAATCTAGGTAACTGCCTATGATCATTTAATGAGTTGGAAAGAGGTGTATAAAAGCAAGGAAGATGGAAGACTGGAAATAGGGAGGTTGAAAGGAAAGAATGTGTCTTGGCTAGGTAAATGGCTGTGCAGATTCCAGAAAGAAACTGAGTCACTGTGGTATTTTGTAATAAAGAGTATCTATAGATTGCACCCTAAGGGATGGGATTTTGGGTCAGCTAGAAATTCCACATTTAAGAGTTCATGGAAATCTATCCCGATTTTTTTCCCCACCTTTTCTCAATATTTGAGGTACAATCTAGTATTTGGCTTGTAGATGAAGTTTTGGGAAGACCTTTGGTGGGGAAAGTCTCTTCTTTGCCAAAAATTTCCTACAATCTACATTCTACAATATCTCCACTTCCAATAGCAATTTCTGAATCTCTCCACTTGCAATAGCAATTTCTGAATCTCTCCACTTCCAATAGCAATTTCATTACTGATTTGGCTTTCATGAATGAAAATGGGTGGTCTTGGAACCTGGATTTAATGAAGGGATTGAGAGATTCAGAAATTGATGACCTAGTTGTTCTCTTAGAAGACCTAAATAATGCATCTTAGGATTTTTATTGTAGATTGGTCTGGGTTCCGAACTCTATTGAACAGTCTACTTGTGGATCCAATTTTTAAATCCCTATACCACTCATCTGAAATGAACCTTTTTCCTGCCAAACCATTGTGGGGAGTCCCTGTTCCCCCAAGGGTGAAATTCATCTGTTGGGAAGCTGCCAGTGAGGTTATTAAAATAAATCATGGACTCCAAAGGGAAATGGAGATCATGGTGTCTATTACCTCATGCGTGTGTTGTTTGCTTAAGGGGCTGGAAAAACACTAGTCATCTTCTTTTGATTTGTCATTATGCTACTCAGGTGTGGAAGCACTTCTTTCATATGTTAGGGAGTGGTTGGGCTGCTCCAACTAATGTTGTGAAATTGACTATCATAAACCCAACTGCTTGTTGCACTAGAAGGCAAAAAAAAAAAGTCTGTGCACAAGGCTGCAGCCTTATGTAGACTTTTAGGGGGGGATAAATGCCAGGAACTTTGAAGACGGTGGGGAGTGTTGATAGGTCTGATAATTGGTGAGAATTGCACATTGGCTTTAGCATGTGATGAGTTCAGAGTAAACATGATAATTTAGAGAGGTTGTCAGATTATTGCAGAGCACCAAATTAGAAATCAACAAAATGTAGAGTCAGAGACATCTGCTGAGCAATGACTGAAATTTAACTTTGATGACTGCAATCTCAGTAATCCAGGAGCATCAGGATTGAGAGGAGTAATAAGAGACCACAAGAGCAACATTATTTTCAGATTTTCAGGTTCAGTTGGGTATGGAAAGTCACAACAGTTACCAGCTTTGGTAGAAGATCTAAAGTTGATTACCTCCAATGGCTGGACTAATGTATCTTTAAAGGGATATAATAATGTGCACTAAATTGATCTTGGAAACTGTGAAGAGTGTTTTCAGAGTAATCCACCTGTATGTCTGGTTTCTACACTCCATAACTCCATTAGGCAAAATTTTCATTGTACCTATCAACAGCCAACATGTTATCCAGGTGGTAAAGTAGTGAGTTCCCTGCTACTATTCTCTTGTAGTGTACATAATTCCTCCTCAATTGCTTTCTTTCAAATGTGAGATCAATAGCTTTTTCAATTGTCTTAGTTGCAGAAGCAAAAGATAACAAGGGGACAAACTATTTATAGGATATGCAGTACAAGATCTCCTACCTTTATGAAAGGCAATTGGGAGGTCTGTTGAGAGTTGGAGATGGATCTGGCAATGGGAAAGAAGTTGAACCTTTCCTCTATGTATATACTACACCGTCAACAAAGAAAGGGACATTTTCAAAGAAAGTAATAGGGGTGAGCATGGGCCGGTTCGTTTCGGTTCCATGGCAGAACTTGGAACCTACCCTGTAGGGGTCGGTTCCAGGTTTTTGGAACTGGAACCTACCCTATGAAGGTCGGTTCCAGGGTCTACCCATGGAACCTGTACTTCTTTTACTCTCCCCCTTCACAAAAAGGCATGTTCTTTAGAAACTTGGTTTTTAATAAAAATAATATAGTTTAAAACTTATATTATATTTATTGATTAAATTAGATAACATAATGTGTAGATTATCATTATATGAAAAATTTATAAATTAAATTTAAATTTTGTAGATATTACCTTTTACACTACTTATTATACACATTCAAAAATTAAAATGAAAACTGTTATGCAGGAGAGAAGAATGGAAGAAGAGAGAAAAGAGAGAAGAGAGAAGAGAGAACTGAGAGCAAAAGATACTGTTGGCGGCACAGTTTTTTTAATATATATACTAGGGCGACAACAACTAAAATAAAAAGGAGTAAAAATACAATAATACCCCTGCGGTACTATACATAGGAAAAAATAACAGCTGTTGACACTCCCCCTCAAGTTGGGACATAGATGTCAATCATGCCCAACTTGTTACATAAATCATGATGTCGTGAGTGGTGTAGTCCTTTTGTAAAGATGTCTGCAATTTGATCCTCAAAGCCGACATAGGGAGTACACACTTCCCCTGTGATAACCTTTTCTCTGATAAAATGCTTGTCGACTTCGATGTATTTAGTTTTATCATGTAGCACAGGGTTAGCAGCAATGTTTATGGCCGCTTTGTTATCACAGAATAGGGTCATAGGTCTGTCCACTAGAAAACCCAACTCACTCAATAGATTCTTTATCCACATAATTTCAGCCACTCCATGAGCCATTGCTCGATATTCAGCTTCAGCACTGGATCTAGCTACCACACTTTGCTT